AAACGGCTCCCTCCGCCTATCAATTCCGCGGGTTTGAAAGGGACGAGCATTTGCAATCCCTAGATACAAAGTGAACTTGCTGTACGCCTATCTCGCACGCAACCACGCGATTGATCTCTTCTGTGCCGCCTCTGATCTCTATCCGCCTAGGAAAACTTCCTCCTCCGGCTTCTTTGACAGCGGCAGCGGCAACGGAGCGGTAGTTTTGGCGGGTTTGTCCTTTGGTGTGCCAGTTTCTCTTGACGATGCGGCGCGGCACTCTGTGGCGCCGCAACCTTCCGGTATGCGGGGTCTCTCCGGAGTTCGTTGGCGGTGAGGAGGCGTCGCAAGAAGCAAAGGTAGTTTGCGGAGGAATGTATAAAACTTTTTACTTCCCGAACATATCGAAAGTTCGGCATATACAGATCCCAAACACTAGGCACCGTCTCAGAAATGTTAATGGTGATGCAATTAATAGTGCAATCTGACTCATTGTTGAACATTTTGTATTATACGTCCCAGGTTCCCATCGACTAGTTAGTGCCTTTCTGTCAGGATGTGGACAAAATCTATTGTCCTGAACTCGCAAGTCGAAAATACAGAAAGCCTACACCATCTGGTGCATATAAGGCACTGTACTAACAAAAAAAAACACGGCGGCAAACACCGAAAGCAAATCCTAGCAAAGCGGAACCTCGTTTTGAGGTTGTGAAAGGAGTCACTAAGTATGTATTTACTAAATACACAACAGCATAGATAGGAGTCTAAATACCGAGGCATCGCGCCAGCGATCAGAAGCTGCCTAACTGGAAAAAGCCGCCTCAGGTAGATTGTTCCACAATCTTGACACCCTCGGATCGAAGAGGCAGTCATACTGACCAGTTCTGCACGACTTTCGGTAGAGTTGGGATGAGAGGCAGAAGCCGGGCTGGTCCGACCGGCAGACTCAACTCAACAGTGTGAAAGGGATCCGATACTGTCCATTAGAGCAATGTCATCGATCAGTCAGACAGACTTCCTCTAACAGTGTCAAATATGAACAGTATGATTGGGGCGACAGAATCGTAAAGTTCTTAAGGTTATATCTTAACTGAGCTTTATACTATGTGAGGTTAGGTGGAGAAGAATACTTATTAGCCCTAAACATTGACGGAATGGGTCCTTGAGATCTGGACGCCGACCAGCAGAAACAGCTGGCCTTGGCAGAACGTGGTTATTCATGAACACTGTTTGTACGCTAGGATGCTTCCTGTTAATCATGCTACATTACTGTCTTTGGAAGCATTAAACTATACCACATTGCTGTGCCCCACGCATTGATAACTTTTTTTTATATACTCCAACTACCACGAAGGCCTAAAGCCTAAACACCCATTGGGTACCGTGTGGCTATAGGGGGATACAGGGAAAGGGGAAACGCCTCACGGACTCTGGCGAGGGAACACGTGTGCATACACATTCTGGCTCCGCCTACGAGATCCGCCGGGTGGTACCTCCACGTTCGACAGTCAGAGACCGTCTACCACCTAAGGACAATCACAACATCCATAGCCAGGAGAAAAATTTCTCCTGGGACGGGACTCGAACCCGCACAGCGCACGGCGACTGATCAGGAGACCGAAGGGTCTACTACTGCGGCCACCGCTGGTGCCTACTTCCATATCTCTCGTCAAAGACGAAGTCTTATCTGGATATTTCTTAACACCGATGAGATAACCTAGCTTTTTACGATTGACGAGATCTGTTCTTGCAAAAGCAAGTTCTCGATGACTCGAAGTAGCTGTAATGAATGGCTCTTTGACAAAACTCGTTCATCCAGCGAAGTCGGAAAGTGGTAGGGTGCTTCTTGTTGGTCACGGTTTAGTACTGACTTTTGGAAGCAATAAACTGCACCAGATTGCTGGTCCTCAAGTAGCGATAACCTCCGGATCTCCCATCAGAGACGGAAGTCGATATCACTCGTGTTCTCTCCAGTTCATCGGCAGAGATCAGCCGAGTACTCTGAATGCTCACGTGTAGAGTAAGTAACAAAGCTGGGGATCATATATTGTACAGGACAGGGTATCGTTAATATGTAGCAGAAACAGTATTGCAGTCAAGACCTGTCCCTAGAGAACGCCCGCGTTGACATTATGGGATGGAGATGAGAATCTGTCATTTACGACGTAGTGCTAAAAGGACGCCAGACTGCGAAGGGCATCGGAAGCCGAATCAATCAGGTTTTGATTTTTCCTTTTCTCTACTTGGCGGCACATCTTAAGAGGCCAGTGCGCTTAATCTTAAGAATATGCTACTGCTATTAGTAGAGAGTGAATTTGCTCAACGTCACTCAGTCTTAATCAACCTAAAATTCGACAAAGGTTTATTAATTGCCTTTGTGGCTATTGAAAGTCATGAAAAAACCCTTCTGAAAAACTGTTCAGAGCCGTCTTAAGCTATGTTAGGGCCCCTGCGCACACAGGAAGCCCAGTATATGCGATTCAAAGAAGATGTTGTAGGGGTTGAAAATTGGCGATTGTAGCTGGTGGCGGAGGGTATATCAATTTTTTATAATATATTCATACGCTTCTAACCCCAGTAATTCTACGCATCTCTTAGACAAAGATTTCCTCCTACATTTGCCCTTAAGACAGAATGATAAAATTTTCAATACATGCTTCACTGGAAATACCGTCGTCGTGGTCTCACCGATGAGTGCCTGTGTTTCGTAATCCGTGGTGTCTGCCGTGATGACGAGGCTGGCGAGTGGCGCGGTATGGGCAAGATTAGTCATAGCAACGCTGCCAGATGATCTGTACTGTCGTTAAGAAGGAAAACGTTTATATTACTAAACTTACGGGTCTGTTATACTGGATCCGTTCATCTTTTTTAATCCTTAATGATGGCGTTGCGTGGAAAGTGCAGAGTCAATCTCTCGACGCCTTTTATTGCCGAATTCTTGGACATTTGTGGACCCCTCATCAAGCCGGGACCTACGCACGGTATCCGTATGTGCAGGGTCCAAAGAGGAAATAGAATCGGTTCTTTTTTTGTCTGACCCCATGATCCGAATCTACGAGGGTCATTTTTAAAGTAAACACCGATTGCGCACCGTGCCCGCGCATCCTCTCACGTAACGTCAGTAAAACCTCGAACACTCTTGGCCGTGTTTCACTGTGTCGCCATCACGTTTCATGTGTCCGTTGGTATTGGTTGCGAGGTTGTACTGCTTGTTTGTCGCCATGTCGCTCAGTAAGCCCGCCGATCAGTAATTGGGTTTTCAAATGTAAAAAGCTTCGTCTTGCTATAAATTCTGTGATCTATTATTGAAGCTTAGGCGCGCTATTCAAAACCGCCTACGGGGTCAGATCTTTAGCAGCATTATTCAGCTTCATGACAAAGCTCGGCCTCACGTTGCGGCAAGAACACAGACGCGACTGGACTAGGTTCGTTGGGAATTACTGGATTGTCCACCATACAGCCCTTACTTAGCACGATCAGACTTTTTTCAAAAGATAAGGATAAGGAAATCGGTTGGAAAATGATAAGTTTTTTTTATATTAAGCTGCATCAGCCAACTGGCTATTGGTAGCGGTATTGGTGTCATATTACAGTTGATGAAGTTACAGTTATGTGAGAAATCGATTAGATTTTGGATGTTACAGTTTTTTCCAAGGGTATGTTTTAGATTTTTCCCACTTAAATTAGATTGTTTTCTTTGATGCTCGTAGACTTGGCACTCCACTTGTATATGTTTCACTGTTAACCTGGTTTCACACAAAGCACACACTGGTTCAGGCTGCTGGGTGATGAGGTAACTATGGGTTATCCTGGTGTGGCCTAAGCGAAGTCGTGTTACGGCTGTTTGTATGCTTCTGTCTTCTGTGACTGTCTGCCATTCTCCGAATTTTGATTTCAGCTCACGCAGCTTAGAAGGCTTTCTTTCCCACACACTATTCCATTGGTCTGTCATGTCTTGTTTTATAGGTGTATATTGTTTTAGGTCTGATGCTGGTATTTGCAGATTACTTGTACGGTTACTCATTGCTGTTGCCTTTGCACTCGTATCTGCTGTCTCGTTATCTGCTATGCCTATGTGTGATGGAGCCCATATAAGATATTATACGTTGATTATTGCTGATAAGATTGGATATGGTTTCTTGTGTTATTATGGCTGAAGGATTTTTGGTATATAATTTGTTGATAGCAGATAGTGAGCTGAGCGAATCTGTTACTATTATCCATTTCTGGGCAGGATTACTTTTGATTTGTTTCAGGGCTCCTAGGATTGCATACAGTTCTCCTGTTAAAATTGTAGCAGCATCTGGAACCTTCAAGGTATTGTTACTGGTTGGTGTGACAATGGCTGCTCCACAGTTTGATCCTTGTTTTTTTGATTGTGGTCAGGATATTTTCCGAAAATCTCGTGGAAATGTTGTTTGATTACCTCATTTGGTACTTTGTTTTTGTCTAGTATCGTTAGCCAGGTATTTATCATTGGAAACTGAATGGTCCATGGCGGGGTATTTGATACGTTGGTCAAGTATGGTTGTGGCAGTTGGCGTATATTCATGTTTCTTAAATGTGTTTGAACTCTCCTGTTTATTGTTGTGTGCATTCTGTTTCTGTCTAGCTGCATTTTTATACGCATATTTTTGTAAGCAGGAGCGTCTGGGTTTGATGAAGCTTTGATTACATAGGATGTACTCAGAACATCACTCCTCAGTTGCAGTTGGAATGATGATAAGTTGAAAAACAGTTATTAACTGGTTTACCGGTCAGGCGATAGCGTTCTTTAACGACGGGATCCAACATCTGGTGCCACGAGTTGGTAAATGTTTATGATGACTATATTGAAAAATGTTTCACGTTAATAAAATTAAACTTTCTCTGACTTCTTACAAAAAAAATGGCCCTCGTGCTATCCTTTATCGGTACGCCCCTGTGGGGGGACGCATGTCCGTAGCGTCGCAACGTTCGCGGCGGCGGCGGCGAGTAGGAAGGGCGTCCCGCCGCCTGTCCGTAGCCAGCTGCAGGCACAGTCAGCCACATTCGCTTCCAGGCTTCGTCCGTGGAGCCACGCCATCGATCCAGCTCCACATTCGTCGCGAACGCTTCGCTCCTTCGCACGGTGGTTCACCCCGTGGCTTGTCATCTCTCGCCGAACAGGTTTTCGGCCGTTTCCGACATCGCGGCAGCACCGAAACCGAACGATCGTGGTACCACATTCGCAATTCGTGCCGGCGTTGAGCCAATTGCCGACCTATCTCAACGTTCGCCGCGGTTAGTTGGTCATGGACGATTATTCGCGCAAGGTTGCCGCCAGCCGCTGTTGATTTGTGAGATCCTCCTGAAGCGACTATCTGCAGCTGATTTTTTGACGTTTTCGTCCCACTCGACTGATTTTTCAAGCTAGGTAGATATGTCGGCCAAAAGAAAAGCTTCTGCTATCATACAACATCATAAGGTAAGAATTTAAGTATACTTTAACGTTTAAATGTGCAAAATTCTCCACATTCCTTTAAATATTCCAACGGTTGATCAAGAAGAAGCAATATCATAAGTTATTGCTATTCAATATTTGCAAACGAATCACAAAGACCAACCAAATCAGTAGTGGAAACAACAGCATCTTAAGAATAGGTACCTAGATATTTCAACCGAAAACTAAAAATCTACGGTTGAACATATATAACAAGGAAACGTGGTTTCAAGCTTGAGGTACTTAAAGGTCACTATTTGTACCACCATAAACCATTGACGTCTTATGTCTTAAATATTGAAGCTTTTGTTGACGTATGCGCTATTTGCGATTGCTAAAACTCTCTATGTTTTAACTAACTTTCCCTATTTCTATAATTTTTGCCGAGTTTCATTTTCTCTTATTCTCTTTCCTGCTCTTTGTGTTACAAACTCTTGAATTCTTAAAATATCAACAGAAAATCAAAACATAGAATATAGATTTAAAGCAAGTTTATTCTAGACAAGTCCTTTTAACTCTTAATCTGCCATCACCTTGGTAGCTAAACGTAAGTTTAATGCGAAAACTTCCAAATGAGGTTTTGGGTAAAAGCTACCTTGATATCCTGTATACCCCAAAAACAAAAGTGCATTGAATTTTTACATTAGTTAAAGAAATTATACGCCCTGATTTGGATTGAACACTTCTCAATTTATCCGTCTATGTTATCATTTCAGGATATTCACACTATATACTGTACACTCCTATTAAGAGTTTATTCTGGTGTTGCGATTTATGTTGCAGTTTTAAGAATATAGCTTTCCATCAGAAACACGGATCTTCATTCTTTCAGTGTTTTTGCTTTTTGGAGTACGTCATTTTCTATATTGGTGTGGATATTTTGTAGCGAACATGACATGCTTATTGCTTTCAACCTCATGTGGTGCTGAGTTTTATGGTTGTGTATGAGTAATAAACGCTAAACTCTTCAATTAACATAAGATTTATCGCGTAATCTATTGTAACTGAAATAAAGACGTCGATTATCACTAAAAGATACTTCCAACGGTGGTTCCAATTTGCAATATAGGAAGAGACAAAGCATCATTTTATTTCTATTGTCTATGTTCATAATACGTTTTATAGTCGCCAGGTTGAGTTAAAACATTTAAAACAAAAGGTCCAAGGATACCCAAAAAGGAACTGAAAAAACTCTGTAGGAAAGTGTATACCAATACAACAAAACTTATATGTCTAAATGTTTGTGATATATTTTTTAGAAAAGAGAGTTTTTGTAACAAATGTATATTAAACAAATAAGAGATACTATTTTGGTTGAGGTAATAATAGTTCTTTCTCAAAATAACTGCTCTCAAAATTCAGTTAAGCCTTATGAAGAAGATTGCGATGAATAATCAGGGTAAGTCAAAACATTTATAATAAAAGTTTCAACGATACCCAAAAAGGAACTGAAAAGACACTGTAGGGAAGTTCACATAACCTATAAGATTCTACATGTTTGTGATTTATTTTTCAGAAAAGAGTAACAAATATGTATTGAACAGGTAAAACACAAACAATTTTGATTATAGTAATAATAATTCTTTCTTAAAATAACTGCGCTCAAAATTCAGTTAATTCACTAATTGATTAGTTAATTATACATTTTATTGATAACAATTAATGTTTGTTCAAGAATTAACCCAATTCGTGGAACCAACGAAAAAAGGTTAAATAGAACTTTTGTCGGATATTTACCTTCATTCACGTATCAACTTTCTTTTACTCGCCCTCTTAATTCTAGAGACATTGTTTCGAATTTGTATGCTCATATATCAAGCATAAAATTCGGAATAAAAGATGCTGCTCTGATTTGCCTAACTGTAATTCTAGTTCTGTTAATCAGAAAATTAAGCTGTCCAGCGCCAGTACAACATGCAACAAGTCCTTTATTTGCCAATCGAACATTAACCTACTGCGAACAGACACTCATATTATCTGTATTCTATTCTGAACAACATACTTGATATTTCAAGCGTCATGCTTCACCTTGCAAAATGCAAATCAGATCAAAAACGTTGTAATGAGATTCCGTTTAGATACAGTCAATCAGAAAAATCTGTTCAGTCTCGGATCTGATGTACCATGAAATTTCTATCATGATGGTTGAAGATGTATTTGCCTAAAGTTTATAGCATAACGTCGTTGTTATATCGTCCCTATACAGAAAAGTTAGCCATTCTGAGGCAAAAATTAGCAGCGAACATGTACAGCAAAATAAATTGATCAAGGCAATCAAACATTATTCCATAGTCCTCACTAATTTTGACAACGTTTCGATATTGGAATTTTTCCCCTGCCCGAACGACAGTAGCGACCATCTGACAACTTTGCCATGACTAACCTCGCCATTCGCTAGCCACCTATCGATCAGACTCGACTGTATACTACTTTTTTTGCGTGTTGTTGAAAATATTTCTCTATCATCCATTCATCTTTCAAGAGCAAATTTTCGAAGAATTCTATGATGTGTTAAATAATAGTGAGTGAAACTAGATAACTGGCTTGAAGCATATAAATATACTAACGCCAAAAAATTAAGATATAACCTCCACGACCCCTAGATTCCCTAATCTCCAATTTTCAACCCCTGCAATTCGATTCTGGAAATGATCAGGAAGTGGAATGCTAAAAGTTCGAGCGATTTTTGTTTTTTCGTCTTTTTCTGTAGCCGCCACATAGCCGAACTGGCAAAATTTCATCAAAATCAAACTGATACTTTCCAGGTTCAAAGACAGACAGACAGACGGAAATAAGCGACGTTTTTTATGATATGCGTGTCATAAATTATATAACATCCAATACTATTTAATTTTAGAAATGTGATTTTATTTCTATAGATGCGATCATAGATTTCGGAACAATTTTGGTCAATTTTCTTGGTCCTAGAAATGAGAATAGCTAGTTTTTCTCTCATGAGATACAGACCCCTGAAAGATGCCCCTGGAAATCGGCTTTTATTAAATAACTTTAAAAAACTGTATCATTCTGCGAAAAAAGTGTGACCTGAAGAATTTAATTCTTGTGTCTTTCGGATCTCTAATTATTACTATACTTTCAAAATTACCCAACTACTATATTCAATCCAGTATCAACATGTCAAACTGTTTTTCTCAGAAGCATGCAAAAGTGGCGGAGAACTATCTGAACACCTTCGCGAAGCTTCATCATTATCCTGCAAACAATCACCAATTAAATTAACACCATATCAAAAAATCCGTTCCTGCAATGGAAATGTGAAATTTTTGGCTTTTATAAATGGGATTTCTAAGCAAATAGTCGATGCACCGTTTTCTCATGTTAAAATCGATTTCATTTGAGGGCCGGACTGTTACAAGCGGATTGTTTTTGGAGCTAATATCTCGTTTGAATTATGTCTGTGGTATATGTGTTCATGAGGACTTGTAGAACTATATGTCATGTAAAGAACAGTCTCAACCTTAAGGACGTCCTATATAGTGTCGATCAAAAGTTTTGATTCTTATGGACCTGCATCTGTATAATGATGTCCCGCAGGACCTTTTTATAGGAACTTGCGACATAACTGTCTGAGTTCTATGTGAATGCCCGTTAGTATCTACAGCAGCAATGTTGATCGATTAATAATCTTTTGAAAGGATAAAAGAAAAGAAACAAATTGTTACAGAGTACTACTCTTTGTACTACCAAAGACTCTGTAACAATGTACGAACGCCACTCTGTGCTTTTCAGAAAGCCACCTCCCCACTTATTTTTTGAACGGCTTATGTAACCTAGCTGAAATTTGGGACCATGGATGAAATCGATGCATGAATACCATATTTTAGCGTAAAAGTAGTAGTTAAAAAATTCATGATGGCGCCTGGCTGTCATTGTGAAATATATTTAAATAGAATGAGGGGTCAGGTAATACCTCATTTTGAAGCTTTCTATGACTACTTTATAAGCCTAGAATACACCTATAACATCACCACGTCTCAAAATGCAGGACAGACACGCTGTCAAGTTCACTGAATCGCTTATAACTCAATAACCAATCATCAGAAGCCTTTTGTATGCTAAATTAATCTTCTTTTAAGATCCAAGGATTTATCCGCACAAGTTGTAAAATATGAAACTAAAAAATGTCAATTTCCACCCTGCCCATATTATAGATAGATTTTATATAAAGATATTCTCAAGATTGTGCTCCAAACTAGTTTTAAAAAACAATAGTATCTCCACTTCAGCTGATAAGAATACACCATTGCTGATTATGCATACTCATCAGCGGATGTGGTTTAGGATATCTGTTCATAAGCTAGCCTGGCGCTTGTAAAGCTTGACAGGGTGGCCACTGGTAACAATAATATAAATAGATAAGTAGATACAGTTGAGGCGCGTTTTACAAAAACAACGTATGTCCAAAATAAAAAAATATTCAGGAGAGAGAAAAAACGATTTATTTCAAAGTAATAATTTTCTTGAATACTTCCGATACTCTTGCCACCCAGCTCTTCCGTAAAACTCACTTGGTCCAAAAATCCATTTGTGCATATACATATATAGAAAGCAATAAATAAATAATGTCACGTTGTTTATACCTGTGTCACTATAATTTATATCAACCTATTACAATTTCACAACAAATTTAATGTCGTTAGACACCGGTAGCCTATTTATCTTGTTCTGCAAAATTGATAATTAAATAAAAATACACAAATAAAAGAAGTAGTGACCACACTCTGATTTACAAGATTTTAAGCACGAATAGTCCAGAAAGTATATTCTGAATCGGTCTAACTGCATAAACCTTATTCAAAAAGGCCCTCTTTTAAAGCATCTGCATGTTGCCAGGTACAAAATAGCGTCAACAATGTTTATAAACAAATTCCAAAAATTCTTCTGTCGCATCGGACAAAGCTTTGTCATTCTCAACAAAAAGATCCTTATGATCTTTTCTCTAGGGCGCCAGTAGTTTATTAGGC